TTGAAAAGTATCATTTAGTTTATGAGTGAATTTAAGATTATTATTAATAGTTTAATAGGGTTGAATATTATTTTGAATTTTATGGTTTAATTATATTATTATTTTGGTTGTTAATTAGGTATATTATTATTTTTGTTGTTAATTGGTTAATACTTATTTTGAAAGGGAGTTAAAGTATGTTATGGATTTAACTGCTAGTTTAGTTGGGTAATGTTATTTAGATTATGATTGTTTATTTGTACCCTGTAATCAGCTCTGGGAAGTGGGGGTGGGAGGGGAGGGTGGGGAGGGAGGGGGGGACATATATTATAAATTTTTTTTAAAATTCTTAATAAATAAAAAAGGTTATCAACTTCATCTCGCTTTATACACCACCATTCAGTGGTATATGACTAACCGAAGTATTTTCCAACTACGTAACTGAACAACTATTTTCATAGCATAGTACAGTTCTGCATATACACAAATAACTCAAAGCAGTTTGTACAATTTTCTGGCAATCTCAATTAATGTATTTGTCACACTGCGGTGAGACTCTTTTGAACTAGAGCTGCATTGTTTTGTAAGGGTGGCAACTGACACAAAAAACAAGACAGTGGAGGCGTTTTTTTAAAACTAAATACTGTGACACTCTTTACAGCAAATATTTACAATACTGTTCCAGCGTTCAACCAGTATTAAGTTTCTTCCTAAGCCTCCCTTTGAGAGACTATCCCACTCTTTCATTTCTGCTTCTTCTCCCATTCTCTCCATCTCCCTTCTCTGTTTCTGGGCTTCACAAGAAGCAGTCTGAAAAGAATAGAATGGAATTTACTTTAATGTGCTCAGCATGGCTTGCGTTCCTCCTGGAACTGCTCAGCCAAACACCTACTACTATTACATTGAAGGAAGAACGACTCTTGGGGTTTTCTGTCCATTCCTTCTCCAGAGACCCAAGCTGCCCCACCAACAGCCAGTCTCCTGTTTCCATTCTGAGACCTTAGGTCAGGGGTTCTCAACCTTGGCAACTTTAAGACTTGTGGACTTCAACTCCCAGAATTCATCAGCCAGCTCTGGGAGTTGAAGTCCACAAGTCTTAAAGTTGCCAAGGTTAGAACCCCTGCCTTAGGTGAAGCTGCTATCTACAGCCAACTAGGTCCCTCCTTCCCATTCTTGGGTCTTGGGGGGAGCTCTAATCCCTCTGGGTCTTCACTTCTCTTCTTCCAGGGAAACCACCCGTGGACCTTTCTTCTCCCTTTCTAACCATGAACCAAAACAAATTTCTACACATCTAACCTTCTCTCTCCAATCACTCCATACACATACTTTTTATCTCCTCTCCTTCGGTCTCTCTTGTTCTTCAATGTTAGGTTATATCAGCCGCATATCTTCCAACATCCCGCTCGGATTCGGGACGGGCTGACCTCCGAACGGGCTGGTCTGGGCGCGATGACGGAGGCGGGCCTTGATTCCAATCTATGGGCTGAGTTTGACCCCGTGACTCCAGAAGACATGGACAGAGTGCTGGGGCGACTGAATGCCACCACTTGTTTGTTGGACCCGTGTCCCTCCTGGCTGGTTATGGCCGCCCGGGAGGGTACGCGGGGGTGGCTCCAGGGAGTTG